TACTTAATTTTGTGTTATTCTTTATGATTATTTTGCAATAACATTGGGACAAGTAAAATTGTTTTCAGGACAAGTGCATTTTTGAAAGGTACTTGTCTGGGGACAAGTGAAAAATTATGAAATTCCCTCATGCCTAGTCTTAAAAACAACAAATTGTGAGAGGTACAGTATGTAGGTATGGGCATAGGCCCATTTCTGATAGCGGTAGCAGCATTAACATATAACAAATTCAACATTTTAATAATAATAATAGCTTATCATGTACGTCTGAATACATACAAAAAAGATAGAACGCTAATCAGAATGCTACTTCACACGTGTGCTTTTCATGAATTGTCATTGTTTACGATCTGCCAAACAATCAATCCATTCATTATTCAGTACACATAGTGTGGCAAAAATGCTGAAAGTAAAATTTCTGCGAATACAATGCATAGGCCTACTATACAACTATGGGTGGCAACGGGCCTACGGTGGCAACGGACCAGGTGGCAAAGTGCCTATGGTGGCAACGGGCCGGGTGGCAACGGGCCTAGGGTGGCAAAAGGCTGGGTGGCCTTTTAAAGATATCTTGGTTAATAATAATATTATCAACCAACTAGGCCTATTGTCGCAAAAACAAGACCCTGGTCAAGCTGCAGATGTTATTGCAATCAACATGTGGCCTTCAGGTAAGAGCCTTGGCAATCTGGTCATTTGTCGGTGTTAGCTTGCAGGTTGAAGCGCATGTTTTCTATCTGGTGATCCCGTTCAAACGGGATGATCCCGTTCAAGTGCTTTTTCCATAACTACGACATCACTGTGAGTAACTTGCACCTTCGGAAAAAGGCTTGTAATTTATAAACTGCTATATACAATATCTTTTATATATATATGCAATTTCATATATATTGTGTAGCATACAAAACAAAATACAAATTCAATAGAAATAAATAAAAAAATAAAAAAAATATTGCAATAATAATAAGAATAATAATAATAAATTCATAATATCACTTCATGTGTAGCATACAAAACAGAATACAAATTCAACAGAAATAATAAGAAAATAAAAACAATTACAATAAGAATAACAATAATAAATTAATATCAGTTCAAATGCCTTGAGGCGTTTGCGACGATAGGTGGTGGGTGAAGCACATTAGGCGCTTACGCCGTAGTAAATAGGCATTGCGAGGATAGGCGTTAGGGTTAAGCACATCAGGCGTTTGCACTGATAGGCGTTTTCACCAAGAGGCATAAAGGTTAATAGGCCTTAGGGCCCGTTCGAGCGAAAAACGCAAACCGTATTCCGGTGAATTCACCGGTTAATCGCGCCGAGCACACAGCGGGTGGTTCACCGTTCGAGCAAATTTTAGCTCATGTCGAATACCGTGTAACGAAACTATTCCAGAATTAATTTTGTAAGGTCATTCAGAAACACCAATCCCATCAACCCATTCTTTGTTTACTTCTGCTTGCTTAAATGCTACGCGGGAATGATTTGTATTGAAGTTTAATTCTCTGAATACTGTACTGTAATGGTAATTTTGCAAACAAACGTGTAGCTATGCTACTAGCCACTATTATGGCTACAATGATGCGATGTTATGTGGATGGATTTACTGTCCAATCCAACTTTGATTTCGCCGTGAACATGAGGAGGCGAAGAAGAGCGCGACGACAGCGGGTAGGCCTACTTGCTGTGGACGAACCATTTGGCAAAGCAATTAAGGTTGATTTATCATCGTCTCCGGCCCCAAGGCCATCTCATACACGGAATTCTACCCAGCAATTTGGTGGTCAAAATTGTCGCGGATAATCCAGATGGTAAGGTAATTAGGCGCGTGTTTGAGCGGTTTTAGAAAGTGTGTACCGGTGAATTAACTGGAAAATCGCACGGATATTTTTTCGCCCGAACGGGCCCTTAGGGTTAAGCACGTCAGCAGTTTACCATTAAATAGGTGTTTGCAACGATAGGGCGTTAGGGTTAAGCACGTCGGGCGTTTGCGCTGATTGGCTTTAGGGTTAAGCATGTCATGTGTTTGCACTGTGAATAGGCATTTGCAAAGATGGGCATTAGGGTTAAGAATGTCAGGCGACCTCCATAATGTGAAGCAGGGGTTTAGCCAGAAAAACGAAATAGGCCGTTCATAATGGAAGGCAGTAGGCATTGCCCAAGCCAAGGTGCAGTGGCGGATTTAGAGAGGGGAGTAAGGGGCGTACGCCCCCCCTCTATTTTTTTTGTAAAAAAATGTTTTGTAAAGCTTATCAGAAAATTACCATGCTAAATATTAAAAATCAAGCAAATATCAACTCAAATTGATGAAGGTACTAGATGTTTAAGGGAGAATCTTCCCTTGCACCCTTACCAGGGACTCTTTCCTGAGACTCTCACTTGGTTCAGACATTCACGCCCCCTCTTTCTTACCGGACTGGATCCGCCCCTGAGGTGGGCCATGCCCCCTCCCAAATATAAGGGAAAAAAATAGAAAATATATATATTGAAATATTGAAAAAAATATATATTAATACCAACAATATTATGTCGGGGAGCCGAATCAAGTATTCTATATGTAGAGCCATGTGCGTGTGTGGTGGGCGACTCAGAACCTTCCATTTTCCAGCGGGGTATAAATGTTTTTACTACGATGCCTGTTGTAACATTTTGCTGGAAATTTTTTTTGGATACGACGCCCCGTTATAGAGTTATGATTTTTTAACATGATGTCAAAAAATCCGCCCAAAAGCTTATCTTATTTCTGTTGGTTACGCACCACTGATTCGCAATGTTTGTCATCACTTCAAGATGTCTACCGATTCGTGAAAAAGGTGTATTTAGGTAGTTAGAACATTTAATTTAATGTACTACCTTATATTCATATTATTTTCTCATAATGATATTTTTTAAATGTTCAACTTTTAATAATTAAGTACTTCAATGCTATAGGTAGGCTAGGCTATCATAGGCCCTAGGTCTTGTCTAGGCCTAAGTAGCCTAGCCCAGCCTAAGCAAGATTTATTGCCATTGGGGGGTGAGCGACTTGAGACCTAAAGATTTAACAGATGCATTGGTTTGATTGATTTTTGGGTCCTTTGTTAAATACTAGAGAGCCAAAGTTATAACCAGGGAGATGTAAAACATGCTCATCTGTCCCTGTTATAACCAGAGTCGATTTTGCAGCATGGGTGATTTTTTTTATTTATTTATTCAACAATATTTTGAGAGGATAGCTCAAACAGCAATGCTAAATTATGAAATTGCAAATCAACCTTCAAATTTAATTGTCGCTAATAAATATTTTATATAATATATATTTTTTGAAACAAAATTTTTTCCTGTCTGTGGGCTAGTAAAATATTCTGTGGGCTAGTAAAATCGCTAGTAAACTAGCCCAGTGGGCTAGTTACCAAAAAAAGTTAGGGCAAGCCCTGGTTGGCTATGACGTGAAGTCAAAAATAAGGTGATTTGAGCTAATTTTTAAAATAAAAAATGATTTGTTTTTAGGGAGTTCGAGTATTTTTGGCGGAGTGACAGCGGGGTGTCGTGGGGCCTATTGCCACACCTTGCGGGGTGCGGAGCCCCTCGGGAGTGGTGAGTGACACCATTTCACCTATGGTTTGTGTACAGCTACCTAACCTGATGGAGTACATACTGTTTTCCCTCCTGTGGTTCGTATACATTCCTGTTGGTACCATGGTGAACCACCCACACAGTCAACTGTTCACCAGAAAAATTACAATTTTCCTTTTCTGTTTTTTGTCAATAAGCCTATTTAAGCCCTACGTACCTAAATGTTGCTTTTGTTTTTTTCTAGAGAATGACTACAGTATAGGCTAGGCATCATACATGCTAGACTTGCCACAAGTCTCTTATTTTTTATTATTTTTCTCATTCTGGACAGCGCCACCAACGAGAAAGTTAATTTAGAGATAGACGGAATAAGCGACTTGTAAAACACTGAATGCAGGCGCCAGGATGCCAAAAGAATGACGTAATCTGATATTCCGTATTTGGATAAATGGGCGAACCGAAATAAACAATTTCAACCAATCAAATGTTCATATTTTTGGAGCCACGAAACTGAGTCACTCGCGTCGATTAGTTAGGCATGACTAAATTTAAATAGTCCTCCCTAATAAAACGGGCCTAAAATATTTAGAACCCTAGTAAGACCATGGTAAGACTAATTTTGGCAATGGCAAAAACAATTAAGCTTAAACTAGATGGCATACCATACAAATACAACAAAACTTTCCAGGAGGATGGATCAGGCCTCGTCTGGAGTCAGGAGTAGGCCTAGCCTAGACTAGTAGAGGCTTGGCGTATTTTTAAGTTCTTACTTACAGAGGCCTACCTTTTTAACAATATTCTACCCTAAAGGCCTAAATATGTGTAGCAGCTAGCGGTGAGCAATCCTATAGCCTACGGTTATCAGTCCATGTCGTTCTCAGCAGGCCAGAACTATATACTAAC